CATAGCCATTTTGAGTCTTTTGTTTTCCAAACGTCCTCTTACGTGAAACATCTCCTGGGACGCAATGTTCTTCTCATCTAAGGCTTTGTTATAGTCTGTAAGGACGGCATCACATGTGTCATTAAGGTTGTCTATGAAGGGTTTGACAATCATGCATGCTATAGTTTAGAGTGCGGATCATGAGTTTTACCTGTTCGACAATGCTGAGTGTGTTATCCTCTGCCATGTAGCAGTAGTTCTTTTCCATCTTTGTAGGCCCATCGTCATCCGCAGTTGCCAGCACGCAGATCTTGCATTTTCCTTTGATGTTGCTGGTGGCTTCGTCTTCATCCCCGGATGACCAAACTTGATGGTCTATTTTCACTTGAGCAACATACGCTCTTCCCTTTTCTTTTTCCTCCATTTCTTGAGCCATTCTGAGATATAATGCTCTATCTTTTAGTACATTTTCCTTGCAGTCTTTGGCAAAATGATTCTCTTTGTTGCACTTGTGACATATCACAATATCACTTTTATCTTCTGAGGGAGTACCAGAATCAGTGGTTTGGATGGACTGCGGTGCCTCCTTGGGTTGAGTATTTTGAGACTGCGGTGGTGGGTAAGGTTTTTTAGTGAAACGAGAGTGATTGTTTTGAGAGTTAAGATTGCGGTTGAAAGGTGGCTTGTTATACTGCTGATTCTTTCAGAATGAAGATGGTAATCGGTTGAATTGTTGACTAACAAGAGCAATTGCATTCTGAAATTTCTTCTTCGTCGTCATACTCTGAGTCTGCTTCATATGACTGCGGAGGGTTGTCATATGTGGTGGGTTATGATTGAGAGTGAGGAGATTGTGCTATGAGAGCAAGTGGACCACCGAAGTCTGCACAGTCTTTGAGTACCGTAGACTCTTGAGCTTGCAGTTCACCGTAGAGCTTATAAAGAGACAGAGAGTGAATTTTTCTATCTCCTTGAACAATCATTTTGGCAGTTGTCCAGTGTCTTCCTAAGCCGTTTAGAAACTGAAGATTTGTTTCATGGTTGCTTCGGACCGTGCCAGCATTGGATAGCTTTGTGACTATCAGATTGAATCTCTTAAAGGAATCTTCCAAACTTTCACTGGCATGAGCTTTAAAGTTATTAAACTCATTGAGTGCAGTAGTAAGCTTTTTGTCTTGAGCTTGTTCAGTTCCTTCATACAGATTTTTAAGAACATCCCAGATCTCCTTTGCGGATTTGCAATTTATGATTATGTCGAAGTTGTCAGGCGCAACTCCACACGAGATCTCATAAAAGGCAATAGCGTCATTTTCAATTTTGTCAAGATCGTCTTTGGTGGGACGATTCATCGCTGTTTGACCTCCTCCTAGTCTAGATGTGGCTCCATCGGTTTGTACCGGAGTTAGAACAGGAACATGAGGCCCTTCTTCAACAGATCTCCATACGTCTCTTCCGAGTCTCCTCAAATATATTTCCATTCTTTGAGACCAATGATGATATTCATTTGCCACAAGTATTGGTGCTCTATTCGAACCACCAACACTGTTTGATACATTAAGAGATAATTCTTGTGCCATATTTCCTTGTTTTGAAAAGTTTTTTTTTGTTTTTTTATTTTTAAAATAAATGAGCTTCAGTGGTATAGAAGGCTTTTTGAAACACAGAGTTTTGCTTCAATAGGCAACCACTATGGCTCTGATACCAATTGTTGAGAGAAAAACTTGAGACACACTTGAACAAACGTTAGACAAGTATAGTTGCGAAATAGTTTATCTCAAAGGATCTAAAAGCTCAACAATAATAATAAGTTAGAGTTAGATAAATAGAGAGTTAGTTGCGGAAATGTAAGGAAATATAAATGACAGCAGATATTATATCAAGTATACACATAAGTTGATTCTTAACAAGGAATGCATTCAGACCAAGTTAGTAAGTGAGATCAAACTTAGTGATTAAGTCAAGAATGACTTGCTCCGTAGGAGATAAAATCAGTATATTTTAGTGAACTTTGAGAGTAAGAATGGGATGCGAATGAATAATAACACAGAATATGAGATTCAAGATGCGAAGTGTTATCGGAGATCTTAAATAAGAAAGATTGAGCTCTATATATAGAGACTCAAGTATTACACTTGTTCAACTATCTATGCGTAGCCATGCAGGCATACTGGACAAAGAGAGTATTCTAATAAAAGCAGATAAAGAGCTAAACTAGAAAAACAAGATATTGAACTGCTGATGATGATGACTTCGGATGGGAGTGCTGATCAGTGTTGACTGCGGATCTTGGTATGCTGCGGTAGACTTAGTTCAAGAGGGTCACTTATATGATTCAACAATTTCCCCCTAAGTGACCTCTTTAACTTTTCTTCAGTTATCGAGTTTCAGGAACTTGATGAGAATCCACCAAAATTTTCTGACATTCTCTAACCAGGTGATTCTCCTTAAAATTTCGAACTTGACTTCGTCAGTTGTGTGTTTTGACTTTTGAACTGCGGTTCGACAAACTTCAATTTGCTTCCTTGTAAGACGATTCATGGCAGTCAAAGGGATGAAATATTTGGTTTCATCGACCTTTCGTTTAAAGATGACTCGAAGATCTAGGAAGTTTGTTGCACCCAGAGATCTCTCTTAAAAACCTTCAGTAACCATCGGTGCGGAAATGAGGGCTTAAGGTCCTTTAAATAGGACACAAACCCGGAAAATTAGGGTTTTCTCGCTCAGCTCCTACTCGTCGAGTCGGGCTCCTCCGACTCGTCGAGTTGACTCTAAAATCCCGCGGCCATAATATTCTCTAGGCGAGTTGGGGCATCCAACTCATCGAGTTGATCTGACAAAAAGAATAAAATAAATTAAATATCATACCTGGGAGTCAGGATGTTACACATTTGTATTTCAGTTTTGGTTTTCAATTGATCTAGTTCTATAATTTTACTTTTTGGTGCCATTATTCTTTTCCAGCAAAGGTTATAATAGGCTAGGTGGTGGTAGTGGAAAAGTCAGAGAAGAACTGTTGGGTGTGTGTTGGTTCGCCGGAGTTGAAGGACCAGAAGAAGAAGGTTATGGTGAAGGCGTCGATGTCTTGAACCTGAAGATGAATACGAATAGAAGTTAGGGGTGAGTCGGTAAGAGAAGGGGGTGATGACAGGTGGGACCCACTTGTCTATTAATTTTTTTTAAAAAAATGTTAATAACAAATAAAGAATTAAAAATTAAAAAAGGGCATTATAGTCTTTTTACATCTACTAGGGACCAAGCGACCAATAAAAACTAATTATAGGGACGTTCCAAAGTAAAAAAAATAATAAGTTAGGGACTAAGCATGAAAATTACTCCAAACCATAGGGATCATTCGTGTAATTTACTCTCTTTCTTTCTTTTCTTCTCTCTCTCTCTCTCTCTCTCTCTCCTCCTCTCTCTCTCTCTCTCTCTCTCGTCCTCTCTCTCTCTCTCTCTCTCTCTCTATATCTAATATATATATATATATATATATATATATAATATATATATATATATATATTATATAGGGTCCGTCTCTTGTGATAACTCAAAAAAATGGTAAGAATTGTGACGATAACCCTCCACTCAAAAAATGTGTCCTCTCTAGGAGCTGACACGTGCCACCCCCCCCCCCCCCCCCCGTGTCCAACATTTATTGGCTGGAGAGTTTTTTTTTTCCACCCGCTTAGTTTTTCGACCAAATCCCTTTTTTTCTTTAAAAAAAATCTGAAAAAACCAAAGTTCTTAAAATTTAATTCTCTACAAAATGAGCACAATCCTGAAAATTTGAAAAAAAAATTTATATTTTTTATAATTATAAAAAAACCTAAAAAAAAAATTTCTCCAAAAATTATAAAAAATTTAAGGAATAATTATACTCACTGTTCTAATGACTTTGTAAAAAGAATTTTTAAAAAATAAGATTTCTAGATATCCAACTTGATTTTAAAAGATTAAAAGTTTTAAAAAAAATGTTGAACATAATATGATGGAAATAAAGATGATTCAAAATAGTTATGATTCAAAAATAATATGATTCAATATGTTTATGATCCTTAACTTGTTATGATCTAAAAATATTTTGATTTAAATATTTAATGATCTTTAATTATTATATTTTTTATGATTCAAAATTAAATTATTCAAAAAATATAATGATCTAAATGTTGTATTGAACAAAAACTTTATTTAGTTTAATATATTATGATCCAAATTAAAATGATCCGAATTAATATGATTCAAATGTATGATGCATAATATCGTTATGATTCAAAAATAATATGATTAAAAAAGAAACTATGAACGGAAAATATTATGATCCTTAATATTTTTCTTATTTAAAATTTTATAATTGTTAAACATTAAAAACTCAAACCAATATTTAGTTTTAAAAAAACAATATAAAAAATCCCTACTACCTTCAAGCATGCAGTAAAGACATTAAAAAAACCAAAATTTTATAAAAAGGCAAAAAAAAAATTAACAAACGAAAAAAGTAAATAAACCTAAGCAAAAGGTTAGAAAAGAAATTTGTAACTTAATCAAATTATATAGATGTTTGGGTCGGCTCTATGAGATAGAATCTGGACGGGTTGGTATTTCTTTGTAACTAAGAAAAGCATATGTTGGTGTTTATGTTTGACAGGTGGGTTTTATGTTGTTTTGCTTTGGTCTTCCTGTCATACCATGTTATTGTATAGTTTTTTATTAGATATGTTTGTTATAATTTCAATATCAAGCTTTGGTCCCGGTTATTAGAAATCCAAATAATTATATGATTTCATATTGCATGTCGCTTTATATAAATAAAAGTGTTATAATATATATATATATTATATATATATATATATATATATATTATATATATATATATATATATATATATATATGTTGGATCATTTGACAACTCATATATTCCCGAGAACTCGAGAACTAAATAACAGTCGTTTGATCAAAATAATAGATGGTCAAGATGATTTGTGGTATTTTTGTAAATAATTGAAAAAATAAAACACGGGGGTATGGTACTGAAATTAATCGAAGGGCATTTAGGGTATTGAAATCATATCAATTCCAACAAATCAATCAATGCCTCTTTCTCCCAAATTCTCCGATTGTCTCATCATTCCTCTTTCTCTCACAGCTTCGTCGTTGATCATTCCAGAACCAGCGTCCGAAATCCATCGCCTCCTCCGTCAACTATCTCCCTTTTGATTGTGTGCTTCACAAGTTGAACACTGAAGAACGGCAGAAACAGCTAAAGGAGTACTCCATTCAGAACCCTAGTGCTTACATAATCGATTCTCCTGATGCAATCCAGCGGTTACACAACCGGATTTCGATCCTCGAAGTGGTTTCAAAAATTGAGACAGTTGAGGTGAAAGACGGTGAGTCAACTTCCTTTGGGACACCAAAGCAGACAGTGATATACGATTCGGAGAAGCTGAAAGACATGGCGTGTTGGGGCGACGGATTGAAGTTTTCGGTGACTGCAAAACCCTTGGTTACCGGACAGAAGTATGAAATCGCATAAAATATCTTTGGTTTTCAGTAAGGAGTGTTTGGATAAGCTGAAACCCCCTATTGTATTGCAGGAGTTTGTGAACCACGACGGTGTGATCTTCAAAGTGTATGTGGTCGTAGAGTATGTCCAATGCATGAAGCGGAAGTCCTTGGCAGACATTACTGAAGAAAACTTGAGGGAGTTTACATGCTTTTTCATTTTATTGAACTGATAGCAATTATGAAGCGGTAACTCATTTTTTATTTTTGATTTTCGATTTTTGATATCATATGTTTTTCCGATATTCTTTTTCCAAAGTTATTACTGGTTTTTCTAGAAATTCATCTGGTTTTTATGTTCTTATTGAACAATTCTGGAATTAGGTTGGGCTATGGATATTTGGAGGAATGTTGATATTCTCTATTCTTTCTTTCTAGAAAAAACCCATCGCTAGTAAGAAACCTGTTCCAGTTCGTCGACCCATTACTAGGTCTGTAACAGTAACAAACCTTATTTCTTGATTTTATGGATACATTGTGAACGAAAATACTCATTCTTCCTAGTTTTGACTACACTTTGAGCGACTTTGAGCCCTATTTGATTTGTTTTATCTTGATAGAATTCTTCTTTTGGATTCATATTTCACTGTTGTTGTCTTGCATGGATCCACCATTGCTCAATGGCGTAAAGCTGGCTACCAAAATGAACCTGAACACAAGGTACTATTTTCCTTTTTTCTTTTTTCTTTTTTTTAAAAAGGGTATATGAAACATCCGAAAAATATGGACCAAAAATTTCGTTTTAAAACTTATAACAAAACCATAAATCATCCATCACCATAAAGAAAATCAAGAATCATGTATCTCAAAACATCATGTCAAATACTGTATCAAAATCATGTGAGAAAAATATCAAAGTCTAAACAATACAAGGCTAAAACCGTGGTGTGTGCCATGTGATCATCCCAAGCCCTTCCCCTTGCTAGTGGAAGTACCTAAAACCAAAACTGGAAATTGTAAGCACAAAGCCTAGTGAGTCTCCCCAACTACCATATACCATACACATAACATATAAGCATATCTTGGGCCCCGCCCCTACTACATCGATTCAAGCTCGGCATCAGCTTTCCCGGCATCGAACCCTATTCGGCATCGGTCCTCGCCCGACATCGAGCAAATCTCGGAATACATAAGTGCATAACAATATTACGCAAAAACCTAAGCACATTATCACTTAAACATTCATTGGGCCCCGCACAGCATCGGACCGTAATCCGGCAACATAACATTCCTTGGGACCGCCCCGGCATCGGACCGAAGTCCGGAAACATAAAATACAAACACATGCAAGAATCACAAATAAATCAAGCATACAAGCATTCCTTGGGACCGCCCCGGCATCGGATCGAAATCCGGAAAAGCATATAAACCTACATCGGGCCCCGCCCGGCATCAGACCATAGTCTGGAACTACTACTATCTAAACGGGCCGGCCTTGGTGCCTTAGACCCGTTCCTACTGGAGGAAACTCACCTTGAATGCCAGCTGTGAAATCTCGTGTGACGAATCCCTGACGGTTGCTCCAATGACTCCCCGGCTATCAATTTCACAATAACACTTAATCAAAATCTGCTAATCCTTCTTAGGGTAAAATGACCATTTTACCCATGGTCAAAGTCAACGTCCTGGTCAAAGTCAAAGTCAAGGTCAACTCCCAGTCAACCCAACTCGTCGAGTTATCTCCCAACTAGGAGAGTTCATGAACTACTCAGACTCGTGGTCAACCGAGTCAACTCGTCAAGTCCCTTCCCAGACTCGTCGAGTTCTTCCTGACATACTATCGGGTGTTGGATCCTGAAAGTGAACCTCTAGCAATCCTAAGTACTCATTTCGAAGTGTGTACGTTCCGAAGTGGGAGAGTGGTCCGCAATCTGTCCGGACCAGGTAAGAAGATGTGAAGACTGAAGGCATTCCGGAATGAATCTCATTTCCGGAATGGATGATGATCCGGAGTGACGTTGTTTTGTCTTTTGTGCATTTATTATATTTGTCTTTGTATTGATGTAACGTTTCATAGGACTTAGTCCGTAGTTGTATTTGGACAATCAGAATGTCAGAATCATTTCTTTTGTCCAGTCCTATGTAAGCACTTTAGTTAATTCGTTGTAACCTTCACTCCTATTTATAGGAGCATTCAACACAAGTCAACAACGGATCTTTCACTCACTTTTGGCATTTTCCCTCAGTTTATTCAAAACATTCTTCTTGTTCTTCATTTATTAGCTTTAACTTGATCATTTACTCTCATTCTTCATTTAATGACTTGATCATTTGTTGAATATATTATCTAAGACTTGACTGGTCTTTCCAGGCTTGACTTGAACACTTATTAGCAATCAGACATTGATCTTAAGCATTCACTCAAGGTTTGAGTTTTCAAACCTTGTCCATGCGCAACAATCTTGTTCTCATAATTGGTATCAGATCTTGAGTGGTTGTCCTTTGAATCCATAAGATCAGATTATAATTGGTTTGAAATCACCTTGGTGTTTCAACCATTTCTGTGATAAGGATAAAAGTTCTTCTATATACCACTTTAGCTTGAAGATATCTTAACTTCAATGGCTGCTTCTAATCCTCAGCAAATGATTTCAACACAAATCGCAAATAGTGTGGGTGGCCCTACTCGTGCCCCATTACTAGTTGTGGAAGAATATGATCACTAGAAAGTTAGAATGGAAAGATTTTTACTGGCCAAAGAAAAGGTGAAGAAATCTAGAGATCCGTTAAAGAAGGTCCTCATGTTACTGTAAGAACAGTTGTAAGAGATGCAGCTGCTCGGCTCATGCAAGAAGATGAAGCTCGCCCAGCTCCTTTAACTGCAGATGATATCGAGAAGCTGCATGTTGATCAAGTTGCTTTCTCAGAAATGGTGTTTGGTGTTCCTCCTTCACTCTTTGAGCACATCAAACTATGCAAATCAGCCAAAGAGATTTGGGACACTCTTCAAGACCTGATTGAAGGTTCGGAAAATATAAAAGACAAGCGCCTCGCCTCAGTTGTAAACGACTTTGACACCTTCACCACCACTCCAGGTGAATCAGTGGCCTCAGCCTCCAACCGATACCTAATCGTTGTCAACAACATGACTGCTCATGGGATTTTCCGAACTCCTTTGGAGTACAATCTCAAATTCATAAACAGTCTTGGCAAAGGATGGGGAAATGTAAAATCTTGTCTTCAAAGCAATGGCTCCTTGAAAAAGTTGAAGCTCTATCAACTTTTTGATGAACTTCAAGGACATGAGTCCAATGTTCCTCAAACCATAAGGGAACTTTCCGGAGGACCTCTTGCCCTTATCAGTTCTTTTGAATCAACCATTCCGAACTCATCTGCTTCGGATCCCTTCAAACCCGTTGTTCCATTGGTTCAAACATCCGCACCTACCTTACTCACACAAATCTATCATGTTGATGATTCCGAAGCCATGGATTCAGAACTCCGTTTCCAACAGGAGTTCGCTCTACTCTCAATGAAGTACAAACATCCTTTCAATTCTTCTTACAAACCATACCAAAACCGATTCCATGCTCCTCACCAGAACAATCCTCAACCATACTCAGCTCCGGAATCTAAACCAACTTCGGAAAATCCTCCTGCATACAAACCGAACCTCTCTAAACCAAACTCTACTTCGGAACCTCCTCAGAGTTCCAAATCGGACAAACCAAAAATTGTGTGTCATAAGTGTGGACATGCAAACCATTTTGCTAAAGATTGCCTGGCTGATGCTCCACAAAAACCAAAAGTCAAGGATTCTGCCTACTACATCCGAAGAGAACAAGAGATGGCTGAAAGTGAAAAAGCCTTTGTTACAACGGTTTCAAGAGATGTTGAAGGATATTGGTCATCCGGGGATGATGATGATATGGTAACTGGAAGGAACATGTGTCTGATGGTAAGACAAATGATTGAATGTGATGAAGGGTATTGGTCTTCTGGTTCAGATGATGAAGATGAGGTTGTTGAACCTCACTATTGCTACATGGCAACCAATGATCCACCCGGTCGAAGCATGGTTCAGCAGGTAAAATCTATGATCTCTGATAATAATTTTGATTTGTCTCTTTGTGAACTTTATCTGACCCAAATCCAAACAGATACGAACACCATTTATAAAGCCTATGAGTCTGCCATAGAAGCTCGTGAGAAGAAGGATTGTGAACTAAGTCGTCTTAGGTTACATTTTGAGGATAAGAAATTGAAAATCGAGTCTTTAGAGCATGAGCTTGTAATGTCAAACGATGAATGTATCATTTTGAAAGATAAATGTGAAATCACCTATTCTGAACGAAATGTTGTAATTGCTGATAACAAATGTCTCAATGCAAAGATAGATGCTTTGCATAACTCTGTAGACATGCTTGAAGTGGACATCCGGATGACTAATAATTTTCGTCATCCATGGTCTAAACCACCTGGTCTCGGAAGCGAGTTTCTGAAACTAATTATTAGTCCCTTGAAGGAATTGCAAAATTTGACATTCATGGGAGAGGTTCCGAACATTAAACTTTCGGACACCCCTGTTTCTTCCTTGTCACCACTTCCGGAGACTACTGACCATTTTGAGTCCCTAATTCCTGAGTTCAAACCAATAGTTGTCAAGTATCCTGATTCCACGTCTCTTCCGCCTCTGCTAAACCTGGACCTAAATCGGACCACGGAATATCATTATAGTCTTCCAAATTGCGTAGATTATGTTCCTAGAAGTAATCATACAAACAACTGTGTAATTGAAGAAATTCCTTCCCTGACAACTGAAACTGATACCTCTGAGTTTGTATGGGCATCCTTAGATGATAAAGTTGAAGTCTCAAGCTATGTGTCCTCTGATTCCTACGAATCTGATTCCTTAGTAGTCTCAAAAGCTAAATTGGTTCCCATTACTCCTGAATTTAGGAATCCATCCGAAGGACAAACCTCAAAATCCTCGTCTCATCCTAAGAGAAAACCCAATGTTGTATAGGAAGG